TGGGGGGTTGCGTTGAATTCGGAAAGTAACGGCACGCAGTTTAGTCGAAGCTAGGATACGTATGTAAAATCACATAATAAAAATGTAGCACCAAAATCCTGATAAAACCGTTGCATTGGCCTATCTTATTCTTTATGTGTGAAACATTTATACGGTATGCTATAGCAATATTTGTTTTGTTTGAATTATACCGCCAAAAAATGAATGAATAAAAGGCCAAGCTCTGATTGGCTGTAGACAAAAAATATGCGCAAGACCCAAAGAGTTTATATACATAGAGTAGGGGAGACCTGGCGGCGCCTTTGACTGGAACCGTGAGCTGATAGAAAGAGAAAGAAAATGGAAGAGCGAAGGGTACATCCATCTTTTATCTTTTTCTCGCATGCGCAATTGAACAAGGATGCAGATGGGCGACTCGTTTTCTGTCTCTTTTTATGTGCTCACGCATTCTTAGCTGGCTCCTCTATACCTTGGCAAGACCATGTCTACTCACATTAATGGTCACTGGCATTTCTGCTTTGCGCATGGCAAATTGACTTACTGACAATTAAACGTCAGCTGCGTCAGCAATGCACAGTAATGTCAAATGATTACGTGCAATTATTTTACTTATAAATACTTTATGTGCAAAACTCTTTAGTCAGTTTTACCACGTTCGCAGCGGCCGAAACACGATGATCCGGCTGGTGTTTGGTTCCTTGATTGGCGCCTTCGTGATAGCGAATTTCGTGGACACCTATAGATATAACGGTATCATAACATTTTCGAATAATTTTACATTTTCATATTTGCGTTTCTAATCCATATTTTTTCTACGACTTTTCTGATCACTGAGTATGTACATTTTTGGGAAATCTTTTTTTTTGCAAAAATGAATCTTTTGATAAATAAGAACAGAATCAATTATAAACTTTAAATTCGAAATTTGAGATACATCTTTTTTTCAACAAGAAGTGCACTCGATGCCAATATAAATTGATCTTTTTTACTTAAGTTAAAATATCAATTTGTTAAGCTATGTAGCTTTTTACTTTTTTAAAAAATTATACTTTTATTTATCTTTTATAAGCAATAAGCTGAATTAGTTTCTATATTATAAACACATTGTTACGATCATCTTTCAAATTATGACGTACAGCAACGGAATGAAAATGTTATGCAAAAATTGCTGCATATATTAGATAATGACTACAACAAGGAGAAACGTAGGAATATTAAAGATGAGTTTGACAATTGGAGCGGTCGTTGGATATCCGAAAGGCCGAGCGATCCGAAACTATCGAAAGTGTTGCCGAAGAATCAGACGCGATATGAATACGAATCTGTAACAGAATTTCCTCGAGAGATGTACATGGACTCTGTATCACCGGAATGTGACGATGCTAAGGTTGCTATAGTTTTCATTCGCATGGATTGTCGTAATTAAAAAGCATGCTTAAACAGGATGGGTACTACCAGGAAAAACCTGGAATTCCCAGAAAATTTCATTTTTGCCCTTGAAAATCATGGAATTTTACTGGTACTCAGGAAAGTTTTTTGAATTTTTAAAATTTAATTTTATCCCCCTTTAGAAGGTGAACGTGGCCCCATGTCGAAGGCCCTTGATATTGAAAGTTAATTTATTTTAAAATTGACATACACTATATGAAGACTCTTCAATCTAAAAAAATCATAATTCGGAAATATATCATCAATAAATCAGATATTAAGAGTCTAATAACGCTGAACTGGTTGCGTGAAACAATTTAATCTTTACATATGTTATCTCCATACAAAATCTTTCGTTACGTTCGAAAATTTTGGTTTGAAGATGTAACTATTGTACATATATGAGAAGATTAAATTATTTCACGCATAAAATACAATACGTTATTAGAACTCTTAGTGCCTAATTTATTTTAAAGCTGTATTGAGAAATTCTCTAATCTCACCTGGAATTTTGAATAAAATTCCTGGAAAATCCGGGAATTTTCAAAGAATACTTTTACAAAATTTGAGTACCCACCCTGATTAAACACGCTCTAACGGAATATGTAACAAATATTTTAATAGTAATAAAATTTTAGACCAACTTGACTATCGATTATAATCCATCGGATTACACATGTGATCATAATATCACATTAAACATATTTATACTTGCTAAATTATTATGTGTGCATATCCCGAAAACGTATAAGGTAAAAATATGTTGTAATATTGAAATTATTAAATATTGGCATTTACTAGCACAAATTTTAGTTGGAGTATTTTTTTCAGGCTGTTCACGAGTGTATGAACCATAGAATTGAATATGACGCCGAAATTCCTCTCTAGTAAGTATATATGATATTTTGATAAAACTGTCTTTTTTGTGTTTATTCTTGTTATAAACTATTCTTAACAATATTTTTTTCCCCTCGCAGTGGTCCGAGTAGACCTTTGTGGCCAGTTTACGGAGAATATAAATACTTGCCCAAACAGAGATGGGTGCATAGTCTCGAGGTAATAACAATAATAGTAACATAATGTATTGCCTGATAAATTTAATATCAAAATCATTTATATTCATTATCCTATTTGTTAATAGAATGGCGCGATTGTCATGTTGTATCACCCATGTGCAGATCCACTGGAAGTAGAACGTTTGAAAAATCTTGTTAACAAATGTCTCTGGCGACACATCATCACACCATACAATTATCTGGAGGAAAAACGAGTAAGTATAGAACATATTAATCTTTAACCACGTAGATGCTTCATCGCATTGTGGCTGCATTCGGTTTGGCGCTTACAGCATTTGCAAGCGTCATTTGTCCTTTAATATTTTTTTTTAAACAAGGATAAAATGATGCTGCGAAGACTATAAGCAAAGCGAACGCAGCCTAATAATACTCGTCGAGTCTGATGGACCTGATAGTTGGAAAGCTTGTTGCAATAATGGGCTAACTCACAACATAGCCGAATATGTGATATTGGAAATGTGATATTAGAAATAATTGTATTTTCCCTTCGCTTTAACTTCAAAATTCATTTTCTCCGTTTTTACAAAATGCATGTTTTTATGAAAATTTTTATTAAAATTTTTATGAAATGTATGTACAATGGATTTAGCCTGCTGTTTCAATTAAAAAGGCCTACGTCAAGTAGTTATTTTGTATTTTTTTGTTAAATGGACATGTTTTATGAAGGTATATAGAATAAAAAAACATGAAATTTTTATTTAAATCTTTATATATACACATTTTTTCTTTTTATTTATTAAAAAATCAATCTAAAGATATCCCTATATCACTTGCATGTCAAATAACCATTGTCGTGTCTCAACAGGCGCGGCGATGGTGATATCTTTAGATTGATTTTTTAATAAATGAAAAGAAAAAAATGTGTATATATAAAGATTTAAATAAAAATTTCATGTTTTTTTATTCAATATATATATATATATATATTTATATAT